TATTTGGGGGCATGGTTCTTTCTAATACATAAGGATCTCTTCATAGAGTAAAAAGTACTGGACTAGGAGTCCTAAATCTTAGCTCTTCCCACCAACTCACTTCAGCAAACTGTTTCCTCCTCAGTTGTCCTGTCTGTATAGTGTTGTCCTGTCTGAATAGTGGTGTCATCTCAGATGCCCTGGGATGCCCTCTGTGGCTTGCTGACTCCTGCCATGACTGCTTCTGCCTCAAGAGTTTTACTCCTAAGCATTCAGAAGCAGCAGTCGCAGGTCCAGTCCCCAGCTCTTCTGGGGCCTTGGTAACTGGAAAGACAGGGTAGGATGCCCTCTGCAGACACCCACGCCCAGAGCAACCAAAACCTTGTTACTCAGAGACAGAGGTGGGAGAGAAGGAGGAAGAGGAGAAAGAGCCCTTTTCAGGAATTTCTCCTTCCTGAAAGTTTGAAGGATTCCTGGGAGCCCAGAGGACCCTGGGGCCATATGGGCATTTCTCAGAATGCCTATCCCAAGAGGGGAATGTGGTGGGGATAAAGGAGCCACTTGCTCACCCTCCAGTGCTCCTGAAGACAAAAACACTCAGGGTGTTTCTGGAGTGGCTTGGATCAGATTCTCAGACCACCAAACTGGTAACTGCAGGGCCCAGGCATGAGTCCATCCTGCAGTGTCCAAGAAGGGGCAGCAAGAGAAGGCAAGGATAGCACCTGCTAGAATGTGCACTGGAAACCATGTGAGAAGAAAGTGAAGCCTGGTGTTCCCCAAGCCTCCTGAAGAGTCCTCTTTCTCCAGTCCCTGCTTTAGACCTCCCGGGGCCCCGTGGTGCCTACATGTAAACCTTTGTCTGGAATTGGAAGTCTCTGGAGCCTAGGAACCCTTGGGTCCCCATCCACCTGTCCCTTCTTAGACAATACATTCTGGGTGAGTGCTAGGCAGGCCTTCCTCCTCCCTGTCTGGTTCCCTACTGCTGAGGCATCTGTCTCTCTCCTGGGATGCCAGTTACTTTGTTCTGGGGCCCTCCTCCAGGAACCTGCCTGACTAATCAAGTCTCCTCAACCCAGCCAGAACCCTTCTCACGGACACTACCACCCCCTGCACACACTGAGAGTCTCCTGCAGTCAGTTCCTTGCCAAGTGTCTTGGCCTTTTTCCTGGTAGAACAGCAAAGGTCCTGCAAGGTGACCAGAGCAGGGCCAGCTGGGCTGGAATGAAGCAGGTTTGAGAATGTTTCTGGAGGAGGAAAGACTGGCAGAAGAGCCAACTTGGTATCAAGTGTTTGAGGCAGCTCTTGCAGAGGAACAGAAGCTCAGAGCAGGTTTGCCTCCTTCCTGCCACCCCTTTAACTGGCTCATGGCACAGCCAAAGAGCCTTCTCAGACACCTCATCACCAGATGGCCCTGCAAAGAATGACATCCGTTTGGAGGTGCACTGTCCAATACAGTCCCCGCTGGCCACACAGGGCTCTTGAACATTTGCAACACAGTATAGCTTGTCTGCATAGAGATGGGCTGCAAGTATAACACACACAGTGGAGCTCAATGGCTTAGTACCAAAAAAGAATGTTCTATATCAATATTTTTATATGGATGACATATTCAAATGGATATGTTTTTAATCTAATTGGGTTTAATAAAATGTTATTAAAATGACTCATTTATCACTTGCTTAGCATGTATGAGGCTCTAGGTTCAGTCCCCTACACCAAAAGATTTACTTACTTTTTTTCTGCTTTTTTTTAAGTACTGGAGATTGAATCCAAAGAGTGCTAAGCTATATTCCCAGCCCTTTCTATTATTTTTTATTCTGAGACAGAGTCTCACTAAGTTGCCCAGGCTGGCCTTGAACTTGTAGATCTCCTGCCTTAGCCTCCTAAGTAGCTGGGATTGCAGGGATGGGCCACTGTGCCTGGCATCTTTTACATTTTTTAAACAGTTATTGGAGAATTTTTAACTCCAAATGTCCTTCATACTGTCATTTCAATTTTACAGAGAACCTAAATAACATGTGCAGCAATGTCTGCCCTCGGGTTTATGACGGATAAGTTTCTAAAAGTGATGCCTTCCCTGGCTCCTGGTTCTGGCTCGGAGACAAATGTCAGATTGTTTCACACTAGCATCACTCCTCTCCTTCTCCCTAAACCTTGACCAACAAACAGGACATTTTGCCTCTGAAGGTGGTCTCTGAGTTGGAGCTGAGACTCATGGATGTGAGAAACTTCCCAAGATGCCCACACTGTTGTCTTCCCTCCTTCACCACCCCTAGGCCAGCTCTAGTTGCAGCCAAGAAAACTCTGCCCTGCTCCAGCCCCACCGCTTAGACATCAGTGATGGCCCCTCTTAAGGTAGCAATTCAGTCAACACCTTGCCACTGTTCCCCAGATAACATCCTAGAAAGTGTATCCACAGACAGCCCACAGGGGATATTCCTAGGCCTCTATAGCAGCTGGGAACGAGTCCTCTACAGAAGGAGCTGCAGGAGGGGCTGTGTCTTGGTTACTTTTCTCATTGCTGAGACAAAATACCCGACACCAAAAATTAAAGGGAGAAAGGTTTACAGTATTTAATTCACAGTTTGGAGAGGTTTGAATCCATAGTCAGCTGGCTCCAAGGCAGGGTGGTATGGCAGAGAGCAACAGTTCATGGTGGTGGAAGACAGTGATGCAACAAGAAAGCAAGACAAGACTCCTTCTGTTCCTTATATTGATCCAGTCTACCAGGGTTAGGGCAGTGCCAACCCAATCAGTGGACTGATCCAGCAATCACCCACCCTGTTAATCCCAGAATTGCACTATGAATCAATCACACTCTAGATTCAGCCATCTCCCAAAAAACCATATGACCATATGAGGCTTTGGGGAAACAGCTAGACACAAATCATAATAGGCTGGATCTTCACAGCCACCCACCTTTTGAATACCCCTTTACCCCCAAAGAAGGGACCTGCTTTGGGGCCCAGGGCTTGGTCCTCCAGGAGGTACTTTGGAGGGAAGCCTGTTCCCCTAATGTGGCTACAGACTCAGCATGCTGTGGCCACTGAACTCAGTCCCCAGCACTCCCTGAGTCTCTCCAATGAATGGCACCCTGGTTACCCAAGAAAGGACTCTCTGGGGTCTTGGTACTCAGAAGAGCCTATCTTGCGTTGGATGCCGCAAACGTGCCTACCATCATCTCCAGGAGATTTATTACCCTCAAGAGGATCCAGGTCCCAGTTCTGGGCCCCTTGAAGCCAGGTTTGCTGGAGGCATTTGGGTTCCAGCTGGTTCCAGCAGAGACTTCCTATTTGAATGTAATATGGTCAAATCTTTGGCTGTGAGTATAACATAAAGAGGCCACTTCGGGTTTTAAAATAGTTTTAAATTTAAGAACTGAATTAAGAGAAAGAACTTAGGGAGTGAGAATTCTTGGCAACCTCAGGATAATTATTATAAAACCAGTTCTTATTTTCCAAGTCCTTTGCAGTGCCAGCCCTGTGGTGCCGCTATCCTTAGGAGGGTCTGGACAGACTCCCTGGCACATCTAGCAGCATTGGGGTTATTATGCCACTCCAAGTGTCACCATCGTACCATCCTTCCCTTTCTTGTGCTCAGCTGGTTCAGCTCCTACGTGGACACTAGCCTCCTTAACCTTCCTGAGCTTGGTTATCCTCATCTGTAAAGTGGAAGTAATGACAGTTCTTGGTCAGGAGAAAACTTGCTAACTGCCCCAGGCCCTTTCTTGACAGTTCACATTGCCAGCATGACTTCCTTGCTGCCAAAGCCACCTGCTCCCAACTAAGCAAACTGTCTTCCAGATACTTCCCCATCCTTCTCACTGACTACTGAAACCTGGAAGAAGAGAGCTTCTCGATCAGGCTAGCAGCCAGTGTCTGGCCTTACACAGGGGCAGCTCTTGCTGTGGGCACTTGTCTCTCCTGTCCTCTGACCCTCGTCCACTCTAAGAACAGGTTTGCCTGAGCGCTGGAGTGGGTGGAGAGGTCAACAGAGTAAGCCTTGCCCTACTCCATGTCCTTGAGTTCAAAGCTAGAGATCTAAAGACCAGAAAATGCCCTGGAGCCTGGGTGTTCTCTTGTGGTATAGTGACAATGCCAGGACCTATAGCCAAAATAAGGAATGGACATGCCTCCACCAGCCCTTCCTAAGCTTCACAGACACACCCCTGCCCATCTTCCCACCACCACTTAGCCATTCCTTTTTTCCCCTTCACCAACAAATTTGCGTATTTACTGTCTCACTTTCACCCTCCCCTCACTGCCCCTGACCCTTTCCTTGAGAGCTCTCCAGACTCTGGGACTAGGGCAAGAAAAGCAAGGTACTCAGGCTGCAAATTTAAGGAGGCACTGACTTTCAGAGTTGTGCAAGCATCAGCTTGGGGCCTAGAGTTTGTGTCTCTTTAAATTTTCATTCAGAACCTATACATACTGTGTGTCCAATATGGTCAGCTCCTCTCAGAGTCCCCAGTCCACAAGGAGTGCCCTTCCTCCCTGTCTGGGGACTCACCCTGGACTTTTTTCTCACACTAGACAAGAGCTGTCTTTTGAGCTATAACCCTAAATATCATCCTGCCCCTGCTCCCCCACAACCTTGTCTTCTGCCTCAGGGCAACCAGCCCCATTTCCTCCTTGCCACATTCCCATTTGCATACCTTGCCTTACCCCTCCTCTACTACCAACCCTAATGGCTTCCCATGATCCTAGGGAGAGAGTTCCATGCCCTCCGCTAGGGCATTAGCTCTACAACCACATTGAGCTTTCACCTCTGAACCTCTCACCTGCTCTTCCCTCTGCCTCAAACATTCTGTTCCTGTTTCTTTGCCTTGGAACACTGGTTGGAATTGTATTTCTTCCCAAATGAAACATTCCCTTTACTTCTGCCTCCATACCCTCTGACCATTTGTATAACCCTTCCCTGCCCAGTACCCAGTCCCTCTCAATACAGTGCCCTTGACTCCCCACCAATGGCTCCCCAAAGCCCCCCAAAATACTTGACATAGTATAGGTACTCAATTGGTATTTGTTGCATGGATAAATGAATTTATTCTTAATACATGGATGGACTGTCATGTAGGTAGCTTTGGTGGCTGGGAGGGAACAAAGGAAGATAATATATAAGCTGTAGCCAGGGCCTGCTCATGGTAGCAGGTGGCTAGAGGGAGAAGGCCACGTCACCTCCAGCAGGCTCAGTGCTGATTTTAATGGCCTGGCAGTGAGGTGCGTGCATGGCAGAGGCCTGCAGAAGAGGTAATGCTGAGAGGGCAGCTCTGCCCACCTCTAATTATTGCTTGCATCTTCCTGGCAGTGCCAGCTGCCTGCCCTGGGAAGCTCGGTCTTGTCCATCACAGTGTGAGTTCAGGGTGGGGCTGCTGCCACTACCAGTAGGGAAGATAAGAGGAAGTTCCCAGGGGCCTTTGGGTCTTGGAGAACACAGGCAGCCCCAGGTTTGGACACTGTTCAGCTTCTGTTCTTTTGGTCCCCAGGGCAGCTGAAGGGTACCCCTGACTTGTGGGTCCCATCAAAAACCCTCCAGGGTGGCCAAGAAGCAAGCCAGCTGAAGGGGGTTCCACAGCAACCCCAGGCAGGGAGCCTCAGATGGTTTGGTGTCTGCTGACATGGAAGCCCTTGGGAAGATGTTGCCCTAGTGGCCAGCTGGGCAGGTGAGGAGCTCAGGCCCGGAAGGAGGCTTTGACCACACGGCCCTTCAGTGGCTGTGGAGGCCGGAAGTTGTTCACCATGTGGATCCTCTCATCATCCTCTGAGGTGAAAAGCAGGCTCCGGAACTTCTCCATCTTGAGAAGGCAGAAGGGACACTCAGGGCAGGATGAGAGAGCTGTGGTCTTCAGACCCCAGATGCATCATCTGACATCCTCTTACCCAGTTCTATCCTTCTCCCTTCTGCCTCCTGGGGATTGTCTCCATTCTTCTCTACTCAGTCTCCTCTTTGATAGCCCCATGCTCAGTTATTTACTCACTAAAGGACTTCTGAAACTGGGCCCACTCCACCTAGTTCTAGCACAGCAGCGCATGCACCATTCTAGTTCCAATACAGTAGGCACAGCTCCAGAGCCAGGCATCTCCCCACCCAGCCTGTGTCTAAGTCCTAATGACTAACAACCATGCTAACTCACAATCAAAAATCTAAACATTTACCAACAAAAGATGAGAGCTTTGATGGGGAGACTCCACCCTGCCTGGGCTAGGCTGTAAGTTTGCAACTGGGGCTCTGGGAACACTCACCTGCCTCTCAGAGATACTGATGGGCTCACGGAGCACAATCCAGGTGACACTCTCACTGAGGGGTGGCGTGGTCAGGGAGCCTGGATAGGTCCAGTAGTGCCGGCTGGCAGGCAGGAGGCACTTGGGGTTGAAGCAGCTGAACTGGGCCTTGGTGCCCTGGGGCAGGGTGAAGACCTGGGAGTCAGCACAGACCTCCTACCACCACCAGCCCTGTAGATTCCTCACTTGTTTCTGTCAGAGGATTCAGGTTTCTTTTTGGCCCACCGATGCAAATTGTAAGCAAATGTCTGTAACCCCAGCCGCCACCTCCCCAGCCTAGGTTGTACCTTCTGCACGTGTTTGCTTGTACATAAAAGCTATGGCCTCTGGAGCTGTCTGGTCACTGTGTTCACACTTTTTCCTGAGGCTCAATAGCTCTGCCTGACAAAGCACCATTCATGTGCCCAGGATCTTATGCATCCTGTATCCCACCAGGCTGCATGCTGGGCATCAGCAAGGCCATAAATCAGATATGGAAGCGTCAGGTACAAGGCCCTGAGGTGCTGAAGCTCACCCTGGATCTCCACCAGTGTTGGCCACCAGCATGGAGGAGTGGTTGGGCTCAAATGTAAGCTAACCTCTTCCCTCCTCCCACCCAATTGCTCCCATGGAGAAGTGGTTGGGCTCAAATGTAAGCTAACCTCTTCCCTCCTCCCACCCAATTGCTCCCATGGAGAAGTGGTTGGGCTCAAATGTAAGCTAACCTCTTCCCTCCTCCCACCCAATTGCTCCCATTAGGGGGGCAGGACGAGTCTCACCTTAAACCGAACCATGTAGAGTGCATCTGTCAGGCGGTTCATGCTGGGGTGCTCATCCCCCGTCTGTCAGGGAGAGGGTAGTATGAGCCTAGCACCCCTGCATTCTACAACTAGGGTCATACCTTGCTCCCAGACTCTGCCACCCCCACTTACCTCCAGGAAGATGCCGACCACAGCCAGGCCATCAGGCGCTGAGGCCGCTTCCCCAAAGGTGCTGTACTTCTTGGCATTCCAGTGAACCAAATGCATCTGGGGGCAAGAATAGGCCAGGCCCAGCCAGGGCTTGGTGTCACCAGGGGCCAATGAGAACTCAAAGCCACCCACCCCATTCCAGCCACAGTTCTGTCCTGCGCAGAAAAGGGAGCTGTCAAACCTCCCAGGGGCCTAGGGGAGCCCCAGAGGGAAGGCCACAGGTAGTATCCACCCAGGTCTGGGCTCAACCCTTTCCTGAGCCCCTGGGGACTCCAGGGAGGCATCTGGCTCAGGGCCTGCCTGCTGGGGAACTAGCTATGAATTCATTGCCTTCCAGTGCAATGCCTCCCTCAGAAGGTGGCACCTGCAGCTGAGCCCAAAGAATAAGCAGAGGGTTAACAGATGAAAACCATGAGGAAGGGCATTTCAGGCAAAGGAAACAGCATAGACAAAAGCTTGGAGGCATGAAGGAACAAGGTACAGACAGGGATTTGTCACAGACAGCTTAGTGGGGGAAAAGGGCAGAGGACAATGAGGCCGGGCAAGGTGAGTCTGTGCAGGGCCTTGAATGCTAGGCTCAGTTCTGAAGGACTATCAGCAGCATGGGGGTGGCAGGAGGCCTTTCCAAAAACTCCCAAATGCAGATACCTGGACAGGACAGTGGTGGCGGTATTCAGAACATAGACCCTGTGCTGAGGCAGGGGCCAGTGTCTCTCCCAAAGAACCATGTGCTTCTCTTCACCCTCTCCAGTCACCCCCAACCCAGACACCTGGACCACCTGACCCATACTCTTTCCCCGAGCAGCAGATGGTGGCCCTCACCTCGCTGGGGAATGACTTGCCGTCCACCGTGTGCTCCGAGCCCACCTCGTGCTTCTTGCCCCAGTGGAAATGGAACTGCTTGAGGCGGTAGGGCCCTTCCAGGGGACCCCCAGTCACCACTGTGGGCAGAATGGGGGTGTAGCAGTTGGTGTGGGAGGACCCACCGCTTGGTGGGGAAATGCCAAGACTAGGATAGCAGCCCACAAAGGGGATACATTTTTTTATGTGGAAAATCTGCTGAGCTGGCTGGGCTTAGGTCAATCCCACCAACCACCCCTGCAGCCCTTAATCCAGGTCGGGACCAAAGTCTCAACAGGCTGCAGGTAGCAGAGTAATCTGGGAATGACGGAGTACATCTCTCTACATCAGAACCCCTTCCCCACTGCTGCCTGATTTCCCGTGAAACCACTGACAATAGGCCTTCCATCTCTAGATGGAAGGGCTAGCTTGGAAGCATTAATTTGTTTAGTTCTCGTAGTAGCCAATAATGAGAAAACTGTACTATTATTCGTATTTATAAAAGAAGAACCTGAAGCATAGAGAGGACAAGGCATCTGTCCAAGGTCACAGAGCAAAACACTGAGCTATGGTCTGAACCCAGAGCTCCTATGTCAAGAGTCCAGACCCCTAATCTCCAGGTAGCACTGTCTGTCAATAACCTTGAACTTCTCCAGGCAGGAGGCCAGGTTCTGAGGGTCCCTAACTTCTGAGACAGGCTCAAGTGCTCTCAGTGCCACCTCCTGCATAAATGGTTTCCTGTGAGGCCCCTACTTGTGCTGGTTTCCTGACTCTGTCACCTTGATAGCTGGTGAGCTGGGGGCATGTACAAGGCCACCTGGGACTGATAGAATTTCCAGCTGAAAGGGATCCGGCGTGGAGGGGGCCCAGCCAGGCCTGAATGTGAGCCCCTAGATCAGGTGACGGCCCTAGGCTCAGAGTTCCACAAGGTCCCTCCATGATGCACCCATAGGCCCCTTGGTGAGGCCAAGCCAGGCCAGGCCATAGAGCGAGGTCTTTTCCCCATGGGCCCCTTGGTGAGGCCAAGTCAGGTCAGGCCATAGGGCAAGGCCTTGTCCCCATGGGCCCCTCGGTGAGGCCAAGCCAGGCCAGGCCAGAGGCCCCACCTTGCTGCCTACCTTGTTGCCTGCCTTGCTGCCTGGCTTATGAGAGAAACAGGGCCTGTCCAAGGCAACGGTAGGTAGGAGGATGACAAAGGGAGTCTGGGGATGGTATCTGTGGACAGGGCCTCAGTCAAGCTGCTTCAGCCCCCAAGGGGTAGGAACAACTGGGCTTCCTGATAGATCTGAGGCCTTACCTGAGACTGTCTCACCTGCACGACAGAGAGGGAACGCCCTCCCTAACCACTTGGGCTTTGCTCCCTAGCTTCTTCCTCCAGCTGACCATGGAATACACTGCCACTGACTTGTACTTACTATGTATTTGAGACTCTGCTGGCATCAATTGACTTCCAGAGTGACCCACAGTGGGTCACTATTTTTTCCCCTCGCTCCCTAACTCCTTGGGCTGCCATTACAGCAGAGGAGGGAGCCCCACCCAGGCCTGAATGCAATCCGAAAACATGGTCTTGAGTCACCCCACTCCACTGGCCTTCATTAAGCTACTGATGTCTGAATTAAGCCCGCACAGCACTCTGAAGGCTGCTGAAATGGATGGCTATGCGAAAATTGCTCATTCATAAACTGTCCTCTAGAGTCATCTAGACTCCCATGTCCCCTCCCCAAAGCGCTCAGTGAGAGGCTTTTCTTAGAGGCCAGCACAAGGAAATGCCTTGTCTATCTCTCCTGAGGATCTGCTTGTCTTCCTTCTACACCTACAACTATATCTGATTTTCTCTCTTTTTTCCTAGCCTACCAAGAAACTCAGGACTAAGCAACTTAGATTACTCTCCTCATGAAAGTTCTGGTTTTTCCTCCTTTCCTTCCTTTTGATTTTCCTATTTGAGAGCTAAGCTTCCTTGAATGCTTCTATGGGGAGGGTGGGGAGAACCAGACACTTCCTCTCATAAGAAATTTTAGCAGATTCTCTTCTTATTCCACTCCAAATCCCCACAGGCCAGTCATGGGGACAAATTCCCTTCACTACAGAATACTTCCAAGGCCTCTGCCTAGGAATTCATCATGAAAGAACCTGGATGCTGATCTACAGCAAAGAGACCTTGGAAGGAGCTGCCACAAGTTCCCACAGGCCTCGCTCTGGTCCAGGATGGCTGGGAACTTGAGGTCATGGGCGAGTTAGAAAGGGAGATTTTTGGAACTGAGCCAATCTTGTCCTGGCACTGCCTAGTGCACTGTGCTTCTATTTGCCCATCTGAGAGTTGGGAAAGGGGTCCAGCACAAAGAATATCTCAGGCCCCTTCTGTCCTAGCCAAGCTTGGCCCAGATAATGCAGAGAGGAGGGCTGGGCTTTGGGCCACAAAGCAGGTCAGTGACAGTGGTAAAAACAAACCCGATCTGCAGCACTCTGTGGATGGGAAGAAATGGAATTAATGTTTCTTAAACATGTGTTATGTGATGGAACTACAGATGTCACTTCATTTTTTTTCATTCACCTCTAGGTGATCTTATCACATAAGCAGAGACTGAGGTTCAGCCCAAGGTTTCATGGCTGGTGAGAGCTGAAGCTGTCTTTCCCCACCACAGCAAGGTGCCCCTTCTGAGCCTGCTCGACACAGTTAGGACTTTGGCGGGGACAGGTGTCAGGCTTTGGCAGAGGCCACTTACCGGTTCGGTCATCACTGTCATTGAAGTCTACTTGGACAGAGTGGCCATTGTTGGTGATGCTGAGGGACGTGCAGACCTCGTAGGAAAGCTCCAGCGGCTGCAGGCTGGGAGAGTACACAGCCTGGCTGGATATGATGTTGATGGGTGACTGGCGGTCTCCCTGGGCAATGGGATACAGCTTGTGCCAATTTGAGGGACCTGTAGGGAGGGAGAGGGCAAGGACTCAGGTGAGCCAGAATCTCTGAGGTTCAGGCTGAGAGAAGCCCTAGGGGACTATCTCCATGACACCCTTTTAGTGAGCCTTGCACAGGTCAGAATTCTAATCCCAGCTCTGCTACTGCACCATCTCAACCTCCATTTCCTTGTCTAGGGAAATGGCCTCCCTAGAACTCACCTTCCAGTTCTGATAGGAACTGAAGAGACATAATGCCTGGAAGAGAATATTTCATAGCTGCAGGCTCAGAGATGGTTCCCAGAACTGAATCTTCCAGTCCTCAACACACACCCAACAAGACATCTGAAGTCTGTGACCTGACCCTATCAAATATTCAGCTTTGACTGGGCGTGGTGGCACATGCCTATAATCCCAGCACTCAAGAGAGAGGCGGGAGGATTGCCATGAGTTTGGGGCCAGCCTACGATACATAGAAAGTTAAAAGGCCAGCCTGAACTACAGGCTGAGAGACCCTCTCAGAAAAAAGGGACCCTGTCTCAAAAAAAAAAAAAAGAAAAATCAGGGAACTGAGGGCCACTCAGGCAAGTGTACGCATACATATGCACCAACACAAACACACAGCATGTCTGTACTGCCTCCGGCGACCTCCCCAGGCCTTTGCCTACAAGTCCATAGGTCTGACCTTCATATGTGCACAGTGACATGGGTCACCAGGCCCAGAATATGTGTGTCTACAAACCAAAACACACACACACACACACACACACACACACACACACACACACTCATAACCTTGCTGACTACATCTGACGCGTGAGTATGCACCCCCACACAAAAATACCTCCTTTTGGAAACCCAAGTTTGCACAAAGGGACCAGAGCAAAACACATGCCCATGCTCTCTCCTTCTCTCTCTCTCTCTCACACACACATACACACACTCACACACACACAAACACCTGCACACACACCCACGGGCACCCACCACCTGCCTCCCAGGGGCTCCATCTGCAGCCTAGAGGCTCAGCATCTCCCTGGGGAACATCCTGAGATGCAGCCTATTTTTAGAGCTACTGCCGGCTGGTGCTTCTCCCCCTTTTTGGCTTCTTAAGTTTTCCTCAGAAAACAGCAGCAGGTGCCGACAGAGCTGTGTCCCCTATGGATGACTCAGAACCGTGGCCCGGCCCCACTGGGTTATTTTTGCAGTCCTGTGAGTTCTGCTGCATGCAGGCGCCTCTGTCCTTCTGTTCCTTCCTCCCAGACTGGACAATCCATACCTGACTGAGTTAGAGCTGCGTGAGGGTACTAGGTCCATGGGGCAGGCCTTTGAGGACACTAGATGCTCCGAGCTGGTGGGCAGGACTAGCAGGAAGGGCTGCCATGAGGGAATGTGGACTTTGGGGGAAGCACTCAAAAGCTGACTGGGGGAAGACAGTCTACCATGAGTTCTGTCAACCTCCCCCATTCTCTGCCTCTCTCCACCTCTACTGGTCTCTCTCCTTTTTTCTGAATGTCTTCTTTCAGCTCTTGAATGTCCAGATCTGGGGGTCTCCTTTGCTTCTGGGGTTCCAGAGGCAGCAGAGACTCTGAAGCATCCCCTAATACCCTCTGGTCCCCTACAACTTCCTGGCCTCCCAGACTAGCCCAGGACTCCCACCCACTATCACAAAATGACCATCTCTCTCCAGAGACTCAGGGCAGTGAGGATCTTCTCCCCCATCCCCATCTGCCTGCCTGGGTTCCCCTCCTGACAGCTGAGATCTTGGTAGGTTCATCGTTCATCTCAGGGAATGGGGAAGCCTTGACCCACACCCTATTGCTGCTTGATAAGAGCGCCTAAAAGGGAGGGGATGTGCCCCAGACCCACACTCAAGCCGTCTAGCTCACTTTCTGCCTCTTCAGACTTCCTCTGCCTCCTAAATAAACTGAGGCAGGATGGAGGAACTATCTTCCGGGTCGGACCAGAAGGCTGGTATGGGTATGGACTCCCACTCCTCACACCTGACTTGCTCAAACACCCTGCTCTGTGTAGACAGCCTGATACATGCATGCGTGCGCCCCCAAATGCCCCTTCCCTCACGTACCAGCCGGCGCTGCAGCCCGGGCATTTCCGCGGGGAAACTCTCTCCCGAGGACACCGCGCCCTTGCCTAGCAGAGCCCAGCTCCCCAGAGGTCCCCGCTCACACGCCGTGCGCACTCGCTCCCCGCACAGACACCCGCGCACCACGCTCCGCCGCAACCGCCTCCCCGCTGCCCCGGCCACCCCCACGCGCCGCGCACGCCCGGGAGATGCGTGAGTGCCGCGGCCGGGCCAGAGCGAGCGAGCGCGGCAGTGCGGGCTGCGCGGAGGCGGCGGCGGGACGAGCTTGGCCACCGGTCGCTGGTTGGCGGCGGGAGCCGGGGCGAAGCGCGGACTTTGCGCGGGGCACTGGGGAACCCGGGCTGGGGCCAGGCAGGAGGGCCGGGTTCTGCGGGCTGGAGGAGAGCTGGGACCGGGTCGGTCCTGGAGCGTGGGGGTTGTAGGTTCATGAATCCACCCTGGACGTGCGGGTCGGGGAGAGTGCAGTTGGGTCGGAGAGGGCGGGGCTGTGCGCCTACCGTCGTCCTGGCCGTAGCCCCAGCCGGTCATGCCGCTGCTGTCCCCGCAGCCGTGCACCTGCCGGCTGGGCTCAGTCCGCTTGTTCTGGCTGCGGCTCCAGCCCCCGCTCGCTGCCGCGGAGCAGCTTCTTAAAGCGGCGGCTGGCGGGAGGAGCAGCTCCCCGGGGACCCGCCCCCCACCCCCCAGCAGGGTGAGAGAGGCTGGCCCTGCCCCTTCCCCCCAAGCCTGCAGGACCACGGAGCCGGGAGTCCAGATGCAGGGTCAGGAGGAGATAAACTTCTCACCCCACCTCCCACCCACTTCCACCAGGCGCTTCGCCCTCCTTCCCCTGCCACGTGTGTGACTCTGGGATGGGGGACACCATGATAAGAGGGAGCCCATGCTGAGGGCTGCATGGCTCTTCCACATTGTACCGTCCCTAGGCTTGTCCCTGAGTCGAAAGTGCCACCACTGAGGACCTGGGCTGTAGGCCCTGTGTTCTCTGGGGGTGGAAAGTCCCTTTTAAACTACACTGACTATGGACTAGATCGAGGTGTCCAGAACTGGAGTGGTCCCTGTTTGCCAGAAGCTGTAGCAGGTTCTGGGCCAAGCTTCGGGTCCTTTCTCTGATACAACCCCCTCAGCTCCCCTTATAGTATGGACTGCCTGCACTGGCTGTGTGACAGAGTCAGACATCAAGGAGGTGAAGTGAGGTGACGTGACTTGCCCAAGGTCATCTAGCCAGGGTGGGAGAGATTCAGTCCCAGTTTATCCTTACTTTAGGTGCTTTTTACCATCTCTCCTTGGTGCTGTGTGCAAGGGAACCTTGTGGATAGTCCAGGGGCCCTGGAAGAAGTAGGGGTCAGGACTGACACTCCAAACCTCTAGCTCAGGGTGGAACCACAGCCTCAACGTGTGGGGAGGAGTGTCATCAACTAGTGCACAAGAGGGACAGACAGACCCACAGGCCCCAGCTGGCTTCCCGGTGAAACCATGTCTGAGCCCCTGCCTCCCACCCTCCCTGTCATTCTCTCTACAACTTCCTGCCTCTTTCAGGGACTCTTTGCTTGTCCCTCTGTTTGTGCCTCCTCTTCTGGCTTCTCTATGACCTTCAGCACCCTAGCTGGGAGCTCAAGCCCACCACCATGCACTCAACCTCAGTGTCCAACATTTTCCCACCCATGAGCCCTAGTTCTTGCCATGCCCTCCTCCTGGTGTGTCCTCTGTCTTCCACCCACTGGCTCCAGCCGGCCCAATCTGATTCATCTTAGCATGTGGCCTTGTGCCAATGATAGGGCTTGTCTCTGGCTAGGCCTCAGCAGGCAGTTTTGGAAAGATAAACAGATGGGTGGATGGATGCAAGGACAGACAAATGATGCCATCCAGGGACCTGTGCCCAAAAGGAACTAAAGGGCCATTTATACATGTCCACTGGTCAGACCTTGACCAGGAGACACTATTTCAGGCCCTGCTCTTAGTTGACCTTGGGGAGAATTCTGCCATCTTATCTACCTGGCTCCCATGACGTTAGAGGAGATATAGTGGGTGTTTCTTAAGGCCAGCAAGTGACAGAGAACATTGTCAAGGCTGCAGGTCTCCAACCTAGAAATCAGGAAGACAAAGGCATGCTTCCAGGGGAGGCCTGCATTCTCTGTCTCCCACTGAAGCCAGCCCTATTTTCTTTTTCCCTCTTTAGGAATTCAGGGGTGGCCCAAACTCCACTGATCCACTTCCTCCCAGAAACACAGGCCTTTTTATTAAAAAATAAAATTGGAACTCTTCATAAGGTTTTGTATCCTGCTTCATCCACATGACAGTGGGAGAGTAATTTTGTCCCATTTCACAGATGAAGAAAGTGTGATTCAAAAATGTTGAATGATGGCTCGAGAGTGAGCAGGGAGACACAGAACAAGGATGACAACTTGGGACTGCTGGGCCCCTTGTTCAACATTTTCTAAAGTCACAGGAAGGGGAGGAAGTGGGTTTTTAATTTGTTTCTCATTTGTGAACATACAAATGAGAAGGACTTAAGAAAAGTAAGGTAGAATGTCGTGCCTCCAGGAACAAGACTAGAGAACAGAAGGGTAGGGGCAGGCAGAATGGGGTGAGGACACTAGTCCTTTGTACCTTCTGACAGAATTAAAGTATATATAGTGTATGGCCTCTTTAGCAACTAAATCAAAGTTGATCTCATTCTTTACTTTCTGAAACCTGTCTTCAGCAATTTTCCCTGGGAGCTAGGAACTCAAGCAGGTGAGAGGAGCCAGTGGATGTGCCCTTCTTAGATGAAGAAGCCCCAGATGCCTGGCAGCCCACTCAGGTCAACTTGGCAGAGCCTGTGCCCCCATTCAGACTCCTCTGGTCTCAATTCCATGCTGTCTTTAAAGATGAATTGATTTCTTTGCTTGCAAGTTTACTCTTTGGTCTCAGTGGTTCCTGGTTTTCACTGTGGGGGAGGATAGGGCATGTGGAGACTGAAGGGCTAGGAGAGGAAGACATGAGCAGCTTGCAAAGTCACACATCAAACAGCCTTGGTCAGATTTCACTCCCCTTCTTGGAAGTGCAGTGTTTTTCTCGATAGGAAAGTGATTTGCGAATTGTCCCTGCCCTGCCCACCATGGAGACCTCTGTGTACATCACTGAGATACCAGATGTCCAACACTATGCCAACAGGCAGAACCATCTCCCCTCACCATTTCTTATGCACAGAGTGAGTGGGCCAAGTTAGAAGCCCTGTTCCTTGTTTTTTTTTTTTTAATTTTTATTTTAAAAATAAAAGGAGGAAAATATTAACAGAAAGACAACATTTTACAAAATAGCAAAGGAACAGTACAGACAGTACGGAGTTACAAATAAAGTGGTAGGGAATTAAGAATGCTTGTTGTATTACATATTGATATCTTCAAAGTGGTTTCTCATGAATCGGCAATTTCTTTTAAAACTTAAATATACAAACCAGCATTTTCTTTTTTTTTT